GGAGGAGGAGGAGGAGGAGGAGGAGGAGGAGGGAGGTGGAACGAGGAGGAGGAGGAGGGAAGAGGAGGAGGAGGAGGCGGAGGAGGAAGAAGAGGAAACAGAGGAGGACCACTGGCCATTAACGATGTTGGAATGCATCTTCCCTCCGAGCTCGCTCTTCATAGGCCCCATACAAGACCACTTGGAGCTGCCTCGTTGGGAGACAAACTGTTGGATCGTAAAGCGTGCCCAAGCACAATTCTCGTGGCTAACGCCGCGAATCAATATGACTGTTGCGCATTGGCGATACGGAATCGTGCCAGCACGCCGTTTTTGGGAGTTTGACATCGCGAATCAAAAAAAACTGTTGCGCCCTCGCAATATAGAGTCCGTCCAAAATTCCGTTTTTGGCACAATGACCATGGGAATCCGTGAAACTCTTGCACATTTTTCAGACGAGTGAACGCGGCGCTAAACGAGAGCCACATAATGAAAAGGATCCGCCCTCAATCCGTGAAGCTGTTGCGCTTTGCTAACGCGTTTGCGTGCCGCTACGGCGAGTTCCACATTGTGAAAACGACCCGCCCTGAATGCTTGAAGCTTTTGCAGATTAGTATCACGAGTGTGCGGGGCGCTGATGCGAGGGTCACAGTTTGAAATCCACCCGCCCTCAATCCGTGAAGCTGTTTTAGCATATTTTCGGGCAAGGACATGCGCGGCGCAAGCGCGAGATCCACATTTTGAAAGCGGGCCGCCCTCCACCCGTGAAGCGCTTGCAAGTTCTTGAAGCGAGTGTCCGCGGCGCTACGGCGAGAACCACATTTGAAAACGACCCGCCCTCAATCCGTGAAGCTCTTGCAACTTGTTATTTCGAATGTGCGCGGCGCTAAGGAAAGAGTCACATTTTGAAACCAACCGCCTTCCGTGTGTGATTCTTGTTGGCACTTTGAAAGCTTGAGGATCATAACTGATGAGGACATCTCAGGCGAAACGCCCGGCCCGCCCTTTCGACCGGCCTCGGTGTGCGACAGGGAGGATTATCTATATGGAAAAGGAATGGGGGAGGAGGAGGGGGAGGAGGAGGAGGAGGAGGAGGAGGAGGAGGAGGAAGAGGAGGAGGAGGAAGAGGAGGAGGAGGAGGAGGAGGAGCAGGAAGAGGAGGGCGAACTCTCTCCCAGGGCCTTTAGAGAATTCTCGCGGCGCAGCGCGGGCTCCTGCGGCCATCTGCAGGCATGGTGGATTTCTGGATTCCGAAGCTGTCCTCCAGGGCCTTTGGTCTTGGAAGACGGTCGACACATGTTATCAACAGGTGTGCAGCGTTTTCCGAATTCGCGCGGCCTGGACACAAGCCCCCTTCTCACGTGGCGAATCTGGCAATCCTCCTCTCTCTCCTCCTCCTGCTGCTCCTCCTCCGCCTCCTCCCCTTGCTCCCAGTGCTACCCTTACAGCTCCAGCTCTGGAATGAGGATGCCATTTTTCCAACGATTGCTGTGCTTGGGTTCGTGGCGAGCTTCGCGACCTGAGCTGCGAGAGCCCATGGTCTTGCTTGCGTTGGCCTGGAAAGGGCGACGTTCTCTCAGCCGCTTGTGCGTGTACTATTTTTTTCCAGGTGTGTCGTGTTTCTGCCAGGCAGCCAGTGCGCCACCCTTGCTGGCCTCTTCCGGATCCAAGCGCTAGCCAGTCGCCTGACCGCTCTGTCACCGCGCGCGCGTATCGGGTATAGCAGGACCCCAGGTAAGGGAACCCGGTTAGTAGTAGGGCCCTAGAGCTCCTTAAACCAGGTCCCACTCAACCCAGTTCTGCCAACGTCCAAGCGCAGCCTGCGAAGCCCTCATTCTCCTGTCTTCCGTCGGAATCGGTGCTGTAGTGACAATTATTTTTGTTTTTTTTGCAGTCTGGTCTGCAGCACGCTGCACGCGTGGTGGCAACGATCCAATCAATCGTCGCATTGCACCGCTGCTTGCCCAGCCTAGTTTCGTTGCCGACGAAATGTCAGCGATAGCCAAATGGTGCACCGCGGAGTTCACGAAGGACTCAAAAGGTACGTAGTTCCGCATGGATGCCAGTGCAAGAGGCCGCTAACAAAAGTGTTGACGGGGCGATACAATATACATTTGAAACAACCTTCCAAAGTCATGTGCTGAGTGGGGTCTGTATCCTGGGAGGAAGTCTAGCCGCGCGCCCTCCGAATTTTCGGAGGATTCCCGCTTACGTGCGCAGTTTTGCCGAACGCTGGTCTGGGACACGGGGCTGGGCAGACGATTGTTTCAGCATGAATTTCTGACGGGGGAGCACGTCAGGACGATGATCACAGCTGTTCAAAGGTTCAGAGGTGCTCTGCGGTTGTCTCGAATGCTGCAGGTGTGATCAGTTGCTTGCTTCTGTCCAGGCCATGGCGACGACCAACAACGGCATCCCGCCCCGGTCGCCGATGCGTGGTTCGCCAGCACGATTGTTGCGAAGGACATCCTTGTTACTCCGGATTTCGTAATTAAAGGGAGGGGGTCTCATTTCGGGGGGGGTCTCTTCCAGGCTATCTTGGAGGGCCTGGGGGGGTCTGGGGACGATGTTTTGGAGGGTTCTCCCACGGGGGGGGTTCTAAAACTTCTCGTCTGGGAGGGTTGAGACCCCCTCCCTTTTATTACGAAATCTGGAGTACCCGTGTTGTCGTTGTTGTGGAATGATCTTGCATTCGGCCTCTGTTACTTCTGCAGGAGGGGCGGTGGTGTCTCAGCGTGAAGTCTTCCTGCAGAGCCGTCGGTTTTCTGGAAGGGCATTCCTCGATCCCTGCTGTAAAAACCGCCGTTCGTGGCACCTTGTTGTTGGTACCCTGCTTGCTGCTACTCTGCTGCCGTACTAATTGCCGCTGCACGTCCAGGAAACTTCGAGTTTGATTTCGCCAGATGGCGGGAGTCGGTGCTTCGCAGGACCTGTCGGTGAGTGCTGCGCTTCGTAAGAGGTTGCGTTTGGTCGTGCGCCTATGGCTGTCTCCCAGAAGAGTCTCATAAAGGCGCGGGCGCGTGTGCTCTGTTGTGTCTGATCACGCTGCGTTTTGCTTTGAGCATTCTCTTGTGGTGTTTTGTATCGCGGGTGTTGTCATTGCTTCAGGGGAACGCCTTCCAGCAGCTTGTGCGCTTCGAGGCCGCGGGGGTCACCGCCGACAGGGCGGGGGCAGGGGTACTAGCATTTTCGAAAACACACTGCGCCGACTCTGCCATGTTGTATGAAGGATGTAAGCGGTGGGGGGGTGAGGAACGTGTCGTCGCATTTCTCATGGTGTCATCGCATTTGTTTTTTTGGTTTTGCGCAATCGTGACTCCAGGAGTCGATCCTGCGACAGGGTACATTGTAGGGAGATTGCATGAGGTGGCTCTTCTTTAGACGGCGTACTTCCAGAGAAGTCGGGACATGCCCCCCCCCCGATTGCTCGAGAGGTCGTCAAACACGTTGGCACTGGTGGACCAGAGCTTGGTGCTATACGCGCCTGAGGCAAGCCACGAGGATGATATGCCTGGCATGTTGTTATCAAAATGCTCTTCGGGGTGCCTTGATGGAGTGCGTGCGGGGAGTGTATCTGCGTGCGGAAGTTGTGCTTGCGTTCGCGCTAGGGTGGTGCCTGTTTTGCGTAGTTCACTGTGTACTTGTGTTCACATGTGCTCATGTGTTCGCGTTTGTTTCCGCTACCTGCTTATTTTTGCCTCTTCGCCCTGCCAGGGTGCAGCTCGATTTTTCATTGGGATGCCACTGCCGTCTGATCGTAGTCGGCTTGCAGCCGCCACTGTGTGTGTGTGTGTGTGCGTGCGTGGGCGCGTGTGTATGTGTATGTGTGTGTGTGTGTGTGTGTATGTCTGTGCGTGTGTGTGTGCTCGTTTGCTTGGGTCTCTTCGTGACCTGCGGGCACGTTTTTTGCCGAAACGGGCAAGCTCGTATCCTGATATCGTGTGTGTGTGTGTGTGTGTGTGTGGGTGCGTGCGTGCGTGCGTGCGTGCGTGCGTGCGTGCGCGTGCGTGCGTGCGTGCGTGCGTGCGTGCGTGCGCGTGTGTGTGTGTGTGTGTGTGTGTGTGTGTGTGTGTGTGTGTCTGTGCGTGTGTGTGTTGTGTGTGTGTGTGTGTGTGTGTGTGTGTGTGTGTGTGTGTGTGTGTGTGTGTGTGTGTGTGTGTGGTGTGTGTGCGTGTGTGCGTGCGTGTGTGTGTGTGTGTGTGTGTGTGTGTGTGTGTGTGTGTGTGCGTGCGTGCGTGCGTGCGTGTGTGTGTGTGTAAAGAGCAAGCACACGAGCGGCAACTGGCTGGCAATTGCGCCCCGCCAGCCTCGGCCGGCCCGACTGGCCAGCGCAAATCAGTCGACGACGCCGGCTCGGCCGGACACCTGGCAGGCCCAGAGGGCGCCTCCGAGAAGCAGCTCGGGGCCCCAACGAAACGGCTGGGGGGCCAGAGCAAGAAGGCGGGGAGAGCTGTGGCGGCACGACGCGAGCTCCCTGGGCCATTGTCGCGCCGAAGGTGAGCAGGACACTGCGATGCGGTTACCTGCTTCGGCCGGTCATGCAGCGGGCACCCATCGATCTGTCGCCGTTTTGTCCTGACACACACACACACACACACCGATTCGTCGCACTGCGCGCATGCCGACTTGTCGGCTCAGGTGCATTGGCCCTCCCTTCTTTGTCCTGGTGGTGTTTCACTATCCTGATCTCTGCCACCTGGCGTCAAGCCTATGGCGCTCTGTTTTCTGCTGGTGGTGGCGCGGCGTTCCCGCCACTCCCGACGGCGCCCTCCTCTGCGGTGGGTCGTCGGTCCCCTCCTCCCCCTTCCTCTGGGTCGTCCACACCGCCGGGGGGTGAGCCTCCTTTGCGTGCATGTGTGGCGATCGCGGCCAGCGTGGTACGCCTCTTTTTTTGTCTCCTCTTCGAACTCTCTTCCCTTCCTGGCTAGCATCCAGTGCGGCGACAGCTCACAATTCACGTGTATCTCTCCCCCATTTCTTTTGACGGGGGAAAGCGTCGCGGTGTCGCAGCACCTAATCAACTGTTGCAGTACCATTGAAGGCGGAGGACAGGGATAGTTGGGGTTGATGGCAGGATGAGTGGAGGGAGGTACTCGTCACCTGGGTGTGCGCGGCACCTAATCCATGTTCGCAGTAATGGGAAGGGCGCCAGGTGTGCGCGGCACCGAACTAACTCTCGCAGTGCCTGTATTCTTCTTCTTCTTCCTCCTCCTGCTCCTCCTCCTCGAAATCCCCTCCCTTCCTGGCTAACATCCATTGCGGCGCCAGCTCACGTTTCACGTGTATCTTTCCCACATTCTTTTTGACGGGGAAAGCGTCGCGGTGTCGCAGCACCCAATCAGCTGTCGCAGTACCAGTGAAGGCGGGTGAGAAGGGACAGCCGGGGCCAGAGGCAGGAAGAGTGGAGAGCGCTACTCGTCCCCTGGGTGTGCGCGGCACCTAGCGAATTTTCGCAGTAATGGGAAGCGCGCCGGGTGCGCATGGCCTATCTTCCTCCTCTTCCTCCTCTTCCTCCTCCTCCTCTTCCACCTAGCGAATTTTCGCAGTACCTATCTTCCTCCTCTTCCTCCGCACCCACCCTTGTTTTCGACACTTCCGGCGTTCGGCCCTGCGGCCTTTTGCTTTCTGTCGGTGGCGGTGCTGCGTGCCTGCCTCTCCCGGCGGCGGGCGCTCCCCCCCCCCGCGGTGGTGCGTCGGTCCCTTCCTCTTCCTCGTGGGTCGCAGGGCTCGTTCGGTCGCCGCCATCGCTGGTCGTGGGCTCGGCCGCGTCGTGGGGTCCCCCGCCGTCGTCTCTCCGGCACATCCCCTCCTGCCTCTGCTCCTGCTTGCTCCCTCCCCCCCTTTTCCCCTCCTTCCGGGTCGTCCCCACTGCGGGGGGTTTAGCTGCTTCGTTGTGTCCTTTTCAGCACGTGCGGTCGCGCGTCTCCTCGCGCGGTTAATATATCTCACCGCTTGCAAATTCTCCCCCTCCCCAGTTTTGCCAGTGACGGTTTTGGCCATGTGGTGTGTCTGGCTTGCCGTGCTCCGTTTCCTGTCGGAGGTGGCGCGGCGTTCCCGCCACCCCTGGCGGCGCTCCCCTCTGCGGTGGTTCGTCGGTCCCCTCCTCCTCCTCCTCGTGCTCCCCCCCATCCCCCCCCCCTTTCGTATCTCCCCACCGCGAGGGGTGGTTGAGCCTCTTTCGCGTGCTCGCCTAGCGGTCGCGGCCAGCGTGTTTTTTATGCTGTTGTTCTCTGGTTTTCAGTGTTTTTTCCTCGCCCTCCTCCCCCTCCCCCTCTCCTTTTATTCCTCCTCTACGGGACGTCCTTGGTCGAGTTGGTGGCGACCGAGACGTCGGTGCGTACAGTGCACGTCGCGCCAGTACCTGTGCTGCTCGTTTTACGGTCGGCACTGAGTCTCTGCTGCACTGGTACCCTACCAGTCAAGCCAGTCGGCGTTATTTCAGCCTGTTTTTGGCCAGCCTGAACGTGCCACTGACACTGGCCTCTCTTGGTGGCGTGGCTACCCATCAATAATTTAACGGCATGGCTGCGCTAGGTTGGTTTCGGCTATGCATCTACATTTTTCTCCGTGTGTTGTGCGTTTCGCCACCACCATTCCATGCTGTCCTCTTTTCTTTCCAGGGGTTGTGCCATGTGCTTTCCCATGCCGGTCCGTAGGTCAGCACCCTCCGCAGTTGCTTCGCGGGACCTCTGTTGATTCGGCGCTTTGCCCACCAATCTGGTGGTTTGGCAGCAGTTGCAGTTTTTTTTGCGCTTCATTGCCTAACGCCGTCGCGTCTGTGATCTAGTGGCCGCTAATTAGCACCAGTCCGCTTGCGCTTCAGTTCACTTTGAGTTGAGTCTCCACAGTGTGCGGCGTCTCGTACACTGTACCTTCGACAGTGCTCGATCGGAGTTGACACTTCCATCTGTTGCCCACGCTTGAGGACCCTCTGCGCCGCTGGCTTAAAACATGTTTGTGTAGTTTGATGTCATGCGTGTGGCCTCATCGCACGCCCCTGACCCCTGGTCGGGTCGTCTGCTCTCTCGCGCTGCTTTTCCCACCTTTCCTGGCTTCGTCCTGGACGGTCGTCAGGTGCGCGGTGCTGCTGTGCTTCGCTCGCACACCACCTTTTTCAGCGCGTGGACCGCGCTGTCGCGGTGTCTGCCCGCTCCGCTCCCTCCACCAGGCCTGTGTCACCCCACCTATCAGCTGGTCTGGCAGCGTTGCAGTTTATCATCACTGTCTAACATCGCTCGCTCGATGATTCAGTGGCACGTGGCACCAGACTGTTCGCGCTTCAGTTCACCTTGAGTCGAGCTCGCCCTGGCGTGCTCCTCTGCTCCTTGCCGCTTCACGTTCGCTGGGTTACAGTCCCTTCGACGCACCACTCATCTTTACGTTCGTGATTGGCGCTTCTCTCACTGCGCTTTCGATTATGCTTGATCGCAGTTCGCACCTCCATCTGCTGCTCGCGCTTGAGGACCCTCTGCGCCGCTGGCTTAAGTGTGTGTGCGTGTGTGTGTATGAGTGTGTGTGTGTGTGGTCGTGTTTGCGTGTCCATGTCGCCGTTCTATGAAATTATCCGATGCCCCATACATCAATGTATGCGGTATTGGACGACCATATATATAACATTGTATTATTGCGTTGCGTATAAAGGTACTTGACTTTCGGAAATCAGCTTGTCAGGACGACGACACCAGCAACATTGTGGAGGAGGTCGTCCAGACGAAGCGCGACATCAATCACCTCTTGGAGGATGTCAAGCTGTACCGGCAGCGATTGGCCCGTGTCCAGAGAGACGCGCAGAGCAAGGCCGCCTCGTTGTGCAATTTTGCCGTCGGAATGTGTCCATTGCGCGCGCGTACAAATCTTATAATGTTTTGCGGATCGTGAGCTGCAGTTGTTGGGTGTTGAAACCACGGGCCCTTGGTTGAACTGAAGCATCCAGCTTTCACGCGGAAGACTAGCAAAGACTGGCGATTATTACAAAAGACCGTCGATTACCGCCGAAACGCCGCATAGTACCATCGAGATACCACCGATGACCGCAGGAAGCGCATGGGTAAACAGGGGTTCCATAGTGGAACGGGCGACAGCTGAGCTGCAACATCACTACCATGGCATGTGCCACCGCTTGTGTAAACTTTGGCTGGCGGTGCTGTCTTGGCGCTCTGTTTTTCGCGAGTGCGTTGTTCAGTGTTCGCCGCTCGCGCATGTCATGAACCGCAGTCTTTGGCAAGTTCCTGCAAGCACTTTGGAGCCATGTGCTTTCGGACAAATGTCCCTTCCCGATTCTGGTTGCAGGGGCTTATTCATTTAGATTTCATGGCGAATCTCGGCCACGACGGCGTCGGCATAAGCTGCAGTGGCAGTATCGGTGACAAGTCTCGGTTTTGTTTCCTCGCACGCCACGGGATGGATCGGCGACGAGTATTCGATCCGTTTGTGCATAACATGTTCGTTTTGATGTATGTTATTTTGCAGGTTCCATGCGCAAGGCATTGATTGAACAGGATACCCCGATTAGGTGCTTGTCAAGTGCCACTTTATCTAGTGCTCTGAGTATGGGTAACTGGTGGCCACAGGCGTTGATTCATGCTGCGCGTTCGGGTCTGGAGCCGATCAAACACACGCGTGTAACCTCCACCGCATTGCCAGCGCAGCGTTTTCATGCATGGCTTCTCTGATGACTCTAGGTGGCCTTTGCTGGCCGTCTCTGGGGCATATGGAGTGCTTATGGGAGGTCTTTTTGGGGCCTGCTGTGTTTTATCGCCATGAGCAAGATGGCTATATGGTGTTCTCCTAGGAAGACTCGGTATACTTGTCTTGGGTCTGTCCTCAGGTGTTTCTGGAGCCATCATTGGGCTGTCTTCCTCCGTCTTAGGCCATCATCGGGCCGTCATGCGCCCCTTTTTGGGGATTCTTGGGGCCCCCCAGGCCCGTCTTTTGGCCCTCGGAAGCCTTCTTGAGCCATTTTGGCAGAAATGCTTGAAACACAAAGTGCACGGACAACACCGTATGTTTTTTCAGTGTGTTTAGTTTCCTTGAGTCCAGCTGGTGGTGGGCTCCCATGATGAGGGCTTCTTGGGGTCTCTGAGGGCTTCTTGGGGACATCTAGGGACCTCTCGGGGGGGGCTGGCTTGGGCCTGTCTTGAGGCACTCTGCTGACGCACGGGTTGGTCTTGTGCTCTCTTGGGATGTGTCGGGGCCGTGTCGAGCGTCAGGGAGGAACATATGCATGGTGCAGGGGCCAGCTCTAACGTACACCCAAACGGAATCTTATAAAAGCATCAACTTCGGGGGACTCCAGACTCCGTTAAAATCAAGAATCTGGACTGCACCCTGGGCGTTCTCTTGGAGCCCCTGTTCTTCATATAATGTTTGTATACGTGGACCTGGACTGCTGTCTAATAAAACGCTTTCTTAACTCTATGCAGGGGTGTATAGGCGCGGCCAGTGGGCGCCCATAGTAGAGCACGTCGTTCTTGTCCAGCAGCAGAGGGCGTTGTAACACACCCTAGCACGCCGTCGGCACGGTGGCGATGCCGCTCGGCTACGTCATAGTGCCATCCTGTGCCATGAGTGTTCGTGCACTCCTGGTGTTTTGAGTTGGCTAAATGCGGCGTTTCTGAAATGGCCTCGCCTTCGAGGATCGAAGGGGTTGACATCTCTTCCTCGGCGGACGGCGGCGGCAGGGCGGCGTGAAGTGGCGGAAGGAAATCGGGGACGGCTCCGCCAGCGGAAGCTGGCGGAAGGCCGGCGGGAGCTGGCGGAAGGACGTGCCCCTTAAGTGGTGGCAACATTTTTGGAGTCAGGGTTTCCAGAACCCGCCACATAGTACGTGCATTGATCTTCTATGCATCGTTGGGTCGGGTAGCATTGTCCTGGGTGAAGGGACTGGTGTACGAGTCGGAGAACCCACCGACTCACGTAGTAGATCTTCCATACAGCGTTGAGGGCGTAGAGATGGCGTGGGAGCCCGTCGGGCTTTCTTGTTATGAGCTCATTTACTACCTTCGATGCCTCCCCACGGATATCAGGTTCGCTGGACACGTATGCTGGAGACGGAGTGGTCGCTCCGAGGAGGCCATGAATCTGCTCGCGCGAGTTTGCTCAAGGCTTTCCTCGAGCGCGCGGAGGTCGAGCTGTGCAAGACCAAGGCTCGACGCGGCCAGCCGCTCCACGCACGACCGGCGTTGGCTGCTGCTAGGGACGCAAGGACGTATTGCCCCAGAAGCTTTTTGCCGCGTGGCACGGAAGGCAGACCCCCTCGCGACGTGACAAAATCACGACGAGGCGGGTTTCGGCCACCACCAGGGGCGCTGCTCTGGGCCTCGGGACTGTCGTCGAAAAACGATTCGGGACGAAAAACCCGTCCTGGGGAGTGGGTCGAGAACTGTGGGGGTATACGTCTTGAAGAAATCACAACGTCGGGGGACCGGGGAGGCAGAGTCTTTCAGCCTTGCTTCGTAGGCGGCCGTTGCCGTGGCGTACCGTACGGACAGCTGATCTCCGGGGGGGGGTTTCGTGCAAGGACCCCTTCGTCCGCCGCGGCCCAGTGGCCCCTCTTACCCCATGGCCTCGGTCGTCGCATCCTCGGAGTGCTGAGGAGTTGGCCCTCAGGAGTTGCTTCGGCTCCTCGCGACTCCTGGTCTCCACATGGGCGGGCTTGCCCCGTCATCGTCACCCCTGGCCCTCGTGCCTGGTGGCTGCCCTCGTGGCCCTTGCTTGAGTGGACTTGTTTGCTCTTGGCCAGTGGCGCTCGTCGTGGCCGTTGGGCTTGCTCGCTGGATTTTGGCTCGACTCATCGTGGGCACGTGGTTCGTACGCAGTGTAAAAGCAAGTCGGTCAAGTGAAATCCTCCGCGGGTTGCCCAAGCAGCCAGCGCTGCAGGGTCCGTTGCCACGAGTGCGTGCGTGGTGGTGTTTCCCTGGGACGCTAGTTCTGCAGAATCCTTGACCGGTTGTACGCGTGGGGACGTTTCGGGCATCCATTGCGCTGCCCGTGTCCTGTGGCCTCTCGTGCCATGTGCCACCTTCGTGGCCCCTCGTCGGAGCTTCACGAGCGAGTCTGCGTGCCCCGTGGCCTCATGTGCCTCGAGCGCGACCCCCTCGTGAAGTTGCACGATGGACTCGGGCCGCCTGTGGCGCATGGCCTGCGGCGCCACTTCACGTGGCCCGTCTCGCCTCGCGTTCCTCCTCGCAGCCCCCCCCCCCCTGCGAGGCTTCTACCGATCGGACTCGCGTGCCTCGTGGTCCCGCCTCCTGGTGCCCCCGTGGCTTCCCGAGTGGGTGTCGAGAGCGGGCCTGGGTGCCGGGGCTCTGCTGCCCCTTGTCGCAGCAGGTGGCGTCGTGCGCTGGACGGAGAGTGTGCCCCAATATTTTCAGCGAGACTCAAAGGCCGACGCCGCACCGCCGACCCTTCGATCCTACTTTTGCAGTGCCTTCGAGTCGAGTGCGAATGGACGGTTCGAAGTCCAGGACAGCGAGAGCACGGAAGCCTTGGGTCATTCGGGGGAGCAGTGTCACGCGCTGGGGGGCCCGAAGGAGTCGGCGCATTTCTGCACGGCGCGGGCGCCCGCGTGGGCACCGCGGGGGGCTTCCTGGAGCTCTCTGGAGGCCTGTTGAGGTATCTTTGGGGCCTCCTGGGGGCTTTTTCGGGCCTCTTGGGGTGTGTCGCAGGGTCTCTGATCGCCAAATCCTTGACTCTCCGCGTACCCCCCCCCCTCCACACCAGGGGTTCGTCCTTGGGGCCGCGGTCTGTGTGTTTCTCCCCCGCGCTCTCTCTGGCCCCTGTGCACTCCAGCGTCGGCTCTTGGCCCGCTGGCAATTATCTTGCGTGCTGCCTCATGCTCGCTTCGGCCCGCTCTCTGGAATGCCGCTGCGGGCATTCGCTAATTGCACTCCGGCGTTGGCTTTTGGCCCGCTGGCAATTATTTTGCGTGCTTCCCCATGCTCGATACGACCCGCTCTCTGGAATCGTCCTTGGAGCCGCAGATCAAAAAAGATCAAACAAGTACCCCCACCAGTTACCAACACCCAGGTACAGGCATTAGCCCAGAGTGGACCCAGGGTCCCCCCACCTCCAGCATCCCGTGGCCCCGAAGGGGCCTGTTTCACTTCGCTGCGCCCGGCTCAGGCCGTAATACCCGGGGCCACCCTCCGCTTGGGCGAAGGCGCACCCCCCATTTCACCCATGGCGCAGCTTAGCTAGACAGCCTTCGCTGGACAAGTGGACCACCTGCCACCTTTTCGGGCCCGCCGCTGGGGTATCCCCCGCATGCGCCCGACATCTCACCCTCACTTGCCCTTCGGGGCCACGCCTGGCTCATGCAGGCAAAACCCCCGGGCAACCAGACTTTGCTGTCCATGACGACAGCCCGCCCCGCGGTACCCTGGGCTGGAGGTGGGCCCCAGCATCCCCCCCTCCTGCCTGGTTGCTGGCTCGGGCAGACCCAGCTGGGTCTCAGTTTTGTCGCGCCGCAGTCGCCAGATCATAGACAC